CCAGTTGAGAAGCCCCAGAAGGTCAACTGAGTCAGAGGAAATTAAAAAAGTTTTACAAATCCACCTACTGCAAGAACTTTGCTGTTTCATTTGAGTTTAGCACACAATTAAAACTTTTGTCATGATCTATTTTCATCCCTCTTGTTCCAAATCATATGATCTTCATATCATGAAGACACTGACAGGTTATGACGTATTGGTTTATGTCAAGGTGTCATATTAAAGACATCTCAAACATCATATTTGCATTAAAAATGTCATAAAATGTCACAGCGGTCACAAACATGCATAAAACTTCCTTCATATTCATAACTAGGGTTGGGAATCGTGAGAAATTTTCCGGTTCCGGTTCCGATTCCGGTTCCGCCAAACGATTCCGGTTCCGGTTCCGGTTCCCATTCAATTAAAAAATATTAGTAAGAGAAAAATCCACAATCCTTTTTGTGTTTATTTCTTATAGTACATGACAAATTAGTTTAACAGACTGGTAATGTAAACAAACTCAAAATATTATTCAGCAATCTTTGCAAAAAAAAAAATATATATATAGGCTAAAGGAAATTAAAAAATTCTGCATTCTCTATAATAATTTAGACCTCTCCTTTATTGTATCTCCAACAGTGAAGAATACCCTCTCAGAAGGAATAGTATATGCTTTAACACACATATGTGTGTAGAACAGATTATTTTTTAAAACGGTTTGAATGATTGATTCATAAAGACTTTACTTATTTCATTACTGGATAAATGAAATTCACTACCGTCAATTTACTCAAACTATAATCTCACTAATTCTGTAACGGAAATCATTTGAATATGTGAAACAAATAAATATTGAGACTGTGTGATTGTAAAGCAGTTTCATATCGACAACTGCTCTCTCTCTCTCAGCGCAAACAGATTTGAATGTAGGCTAGAGAGTGACTCGGCGGTCGGCGCGCGCAGCGTGCGTGTGTCTGTGTGTGACAAATGCAGCGCGTGTGAAAGCAAATCGCAACTTCAGTGGTGAAGTTTTTGTCATTTAGGAATAAGACGGCGTCTTCTACTCCCAGCACTTCGCCCACATGATGATATCGCATCGGCATCAGAACCGTTTTCGGAACCGAAACTTAGAAATTTTGCACGGTTCCGGTATTTTTTCAAAAACACAACCGGTTCTGGAAAAGAACCGGTTCTCGGTTCCCAACCCTATTCATAACATATGTCATGTCATGATTATGAAGGTGTAAAATATTTAAATTAAAAATATAATAAATGACTGTGGTGGAAGTGCTGTTGATTTTACTAAAGGAAATACCGTTTTGAGTAAGCTTTGTAGAGCAGGTGAGGGTGGCGATCTGGAAGCTGTCTTTGGTGGTAGGAATGAGACCGGCATGATGGAAGGATTTTCCCGTTTGTCTCTCTTTCTCTTCCACTTCAGCATACGAGCCAGGCAGAGTCAAATACGTCTTGGCATCATCGGTTTTCTTCACATCCACCTGTAGGAACAGAAGAGGAACTTGTAGTGGTACTGCATCTTTGAAACAGAAAGGGTTACATGACATGGGAAGTTCAGAAAAGTTTGAACACTACTTTTCCAAAGCTTGGGGACAGCAATATATTTTTTATTTGAAAGACATTAATACATTTCACATTCAGCAAGGATGCCCTTCAATTGATCAAAAGTGACAGTAGAGACATTTATAATGTTTCAAAAAAGAACTCTCTATTCATTAAAGAACCCTGAAATAATGTATCACGGTTTTCACAAACACAACTGGTTTTAGCATTGTTAATAATCAGAAATGTTTCTGGTGCATCAAATCATCATGTTAGAATGATTTCTGAAGGATCATGTGACACTGAAAACTGTAGTAATGATGCTGAAAATGTAGCTTTGCATCACAGGAATAAATTACATTGTAAAATATATTAAAATAGAAAAGCCTTCAAAGGAGCAGTTCACTTTAAAAAAAAAACTTTTGCTGATAATTTACTCACCCCCCATGTCATCCAAGATGTCCATGTCTTTCTTTCTTCAGTCGAAAAGAAATTAAGGTTTTTGATGAAAACATTCCAGCATTTTTCTCCATATAATGGACTTCAATGGGGTCCAAATGAGAGTTTCAGTGCAAACTGCAAACTGTTCAAAGGGCTTTAAACGATTCCAGACGATGAAAAAGGGTCTTATCAAGTGAAACGATCGCTCATTTAATAAATAAATAACAAGGTTTAAGTTTTATAAGCTCAAATGCTTGCCTTCCTCTGTTCTGTGACGCACATTTGTGACTCTCCTGTTCGAACTCGTTCATCAAAATGAACAAATCTTTTTCCGAGTCATTTGGTTCATTCAACGAACGAAACGAACGAATTGACTCGGAAAAAGATTCATTCATTTTGATGAACGAGTTCGAACAGGAGAGTCACGAACGCACATCACAGAACAGAGCAAGGCGAGCATTTGAGCTTATAAAACGTTGTTATTTATTTTTTTTAAAGAGCGATCGTTTCGCTTGATAAGACCCTTATTCATCGTCTGGAATCGTTTAAAGCCCTTTGAATAGTTTGCATTTTGTCCTGAAAATGTCTTTTAGACCTTGAGCCGTTTGTTCCCATTGAAGTCCATTATATGGAGAAAAATCCTGGAATGTTTTCATCAAAAAACTTAATTTCTTTTCGACTGAAGAAAGAAAGACATGGACATCTTGGATGACATGGGGGTGAGTAAATTATCAGCAAAAGTTTTTGTAAAAGTGAACTACTCCTTTAAGATGCCCACCTTGTAGACAATGAGATCGTGTTTTCCATCTGGGAGTGTGGTGCCATCCGACTTCATCAGACGAATAAAGGCCATGCCAAAAGGCTTCTCAGACTTATCTCTGGCTACAGAAATATAAGCATACAAATTTTCAACTTGAACATAGTGAGGTTCTCAACCTGGGGTCAGCAAAAATGCTAATGTGTTTAAGTGAGATCTCTGTAAACTCTATCTTTTTATACATGTTTTCCGAGGATAGTATTTAACCCCATGTTGGACTTCCATATAAAATGTGAAATGCATGCAACAAACGTGACTTGGACAAAAACCTCTGCATAAATGCATTAATGAAAAAAAGAAAAAAAGAGAACAGATACCACAGTCTTTAGCTTATACATACAGTTCTTGCGAACTCAACGTCATGCACAATAAGGACTCACAATCTTGAGAAGATCTGTGTCTAAAGGTCAGCCTCAGGTGACATCGACACACATCCTCAATAGGAATGGCCACCTGACGGACAGAAAGGAGTGAGTGAATTAAAACCCTGGTGCAGTTCTTAAGTCCCTCTCATATGACCCATGTGAAGGGCTTCAACACAGCTCTTAACACAAGCGTAAGCACTTCAATTGACCTTGACATGAAAAGCATTGCTGGCAGTGTCACAGAACGGCAATTTTATTGCTAGGCAGCATGAAAGTGGCAGGTGTATGCAGTGAAAATAGGAAACAGGAAATGATGGAGCGAACACATTTGAGCTTCAAATAAGAAAAAATCCTGGAGATCACTTTAAAACATTACAGAAAGAATGGAAAGGAAGCATACGCTCTCTGATCGTCACGATATGCATTTGACATTGTGTGTGTTTACGTGTAAACAAATGTACCAGATCATTTTGTCAGGATTTTACACCATTCTTACTTTGAGGAACTATTATAAATAGTGGCAACACTTTTTGGTAGCAATTTAAAATAACGTCTAATTTGCATAGGCTTAACAATTAGCAATATATATTTTAAAGCATTTATTAATCTTTTTTACCTTAGTTAGTAAAAATATAATTGTTTATTGTTTGTTCGTTAGTTCACAAATAAATCTTTTGATTTAAATAATGTATTAATAAATGCTGAAATTAAGATTAAATAAGATGAATAAATGCTGTTCATTGGTAGTTCATGTTAACAACTGTAGTTAATGAAAGTGAACATATTAAATTAATTTTTTTTAATGGACATTTATTAGAGAGTTGGAGCCTGATATGTGTTACTAAGAAACTGAGATTAAAAAAAAAAATGTGTTTGTCCTTTTACAATTAAAACGTGATTGGCCTCATGGGAAGTGCTTCAAAAATCAATCATGAATAAAACATGCAACTTCAGTTGCACAAAGAATCAATCGCTCTTCCATGTTGTTAAAAAAAAGGAGAAACTTTGAGTTACGGGTTACAACGCTTGAGTACACTGCATGCAAAATAAAGCGAGGTTGTGCTGTACTGTAGATTAATGCTTTGCATTGGAGAATGCTTGCGAGAGTCATATGAAAGGGCCTTTAGCTTCAAAACTTCAAAAATCTGAACCCAGATGCTTTTGTTTTCGTCCTAATGTGTTTGTACCTTAACAGTCTCATTCCAGCAGGGCTGCTTGACTTGATAGTAGATGACAGACTTATATTCAGTGATCCCTTCATAACCAGCTCCAGGAAACATGGCTTTCTGAAGGGAGATTGAGAAGGTAAAAAAGATTTACTGGAAAAAAACAGTTTTACAAACAGTAAGTGGTTTGCAGCCGAAAAAGTTCAATGTTAACAAGACCAGAAGTTGGCAGCGCACAGCTTGAGTTGAAAGAAACTGTGTTGCATAATGTGCAGTATATAAAATGACAACAAGACTGAAAGACAAGCTTAAATCTCGTAAAAGGGGAGATCTTTTTAGGAAATGTTTCAGAATGATTTTTTTTTTGTATTTTTCCATGTTCACGGGTGTAAACAGGACACGCATTTCTGTGCATTACAGATCGAAATAGCATTTGGCAAGAACAGAACTGTAAAAAGCTTTCTGTACAGTGTGTTTGGACATTTAAAGACAGCAGCAGTTTTATAAAGGAGAAAGAACTGTGAGCTGTTTTTATGCCAGCAACAGTTCTGCTGTCAAAACACAGAGATAAAGGGGGTGGATGAGCTATGCATGCTAAATAGAGAAAGTTAAAACTGTTAGTCAATATAAACAAGAAGAACGGAGGACAATGGAACCAACTTATGCAAAAAAATATGTAATTCAAGCTGTTGCCATGTGTTTATTTTGAATCAGGATTCGGTTACTGGTTTTTAACAAGTGCCCTTTACCAAGCACTGCTTTGGGAATATCCTAATTATCCTGATATTAATGTTAGTAAACATTTAATTTTATGTTTGTTTGTTTTTTACCTCCATGGGATTTCCTTCTTCATCCAACACGCTCATTATAACTTCTACATTTTTGGGGGTCTTCTTCTTGCCACGATCAAATTCTCCTTGTAGAAGTGTTACATATATATCATTCCTTACATAACCTGTAGAGACATAATAGTTGAACTGTACATAAAGGTTGACTGGTCACTAGAGAATCTGGGTGAAGAGACAACAGCAAATGGATTTACTGAAGTTGGTAAGAAAGGCTTTAATTGCACTATTATTAAGACGAAGATGTTACAATCTGAAAGATGTGCAGACCAACCTGGCAGGATAATTTCAGGAAAGCCCATTTTCCGGACTATAGCTGTTGTGCGATCCACAAAATGAGGGTAATCTTTTTTAACCTGAAACACATCTCCAGGGAGCAACTTTAGGGTCACAAACAAACCTGAAAGCAAAAATATGCCATTATAAGGCGGACAGGTCTCGTCAGTCAACAAACTCCAGCCCTGAGGGCGCAGGATCTCTCAACACAGACTAAATCATCTCAGAATCAATTACCAGACAGAACGAATGACAGACAAGACAAGACAAACAGACCAAACAAAAGACTGAAAGACTAGACAGACACACCAAACGAAAGACTAGACAAACAGACCAAACGAAAGACAGAAAGACAAACAGACCAAACGAATCAGACAAACAGACCAAACGAAAGACAGAAAGACAAACAGACCAAACGAAACAGACAGACAGACCAAATGAGAGACAGAAAGACTAGACAAACAGACCAAACGAAAGACAGAAAGACAAACAGACCAAACGAATCAGACAAACAGACCAAACGAAAGACAGAAAGACAAACAGACCAAACGAAACAGACAGACAGACCAAATCAGAGACAGAAAGACCAGGCAGACAGACCAAACGAAAGACTAGACAAACAGACCAAACGAAAGACAGAAAGACAAACAGACCAAACGAATCAGACAAAGAGACCAAACGAAAGACAGAAAGACAAACAGACCAAACGAAACAGACAGACAGACCAAACCAGAGACAGAAAGACCAGACAGACAGACCAAACGAAAGACTAGACAAACAGACCAAACGGACCAAACGAAAGAGACTGACACAGACAGACCAAACGAAAGACAGAAAGACAAACAGACCAAACGAAACAGACAGACAGACAGACCAAACGAGAGACAGAAAGACCAGACAGACAGACCAAACGAAAGACAGAAAGACAAACAGACCAAACGAAAGAGACAGACTAAGACAGACCAAACGAAAAACAGAAAGACAAGACAAACAGACCAATCGAAAGACAGAAAGACAAACAGACCAAACAAAACGGACAGACAGACAGACCAAATGAAAGACAGAAAGACAGACCAAACAAAAGAGACAGACAAAGACAGGCCAAACGAAAGACAGAAAGACAAGACAAACAGACCAAACGAAAGAGACAGACAAAGACAGGCCAAACGAAAAACAGACAGAAAAGACAGACAGACCAAACGAAAGAGACAGACTAAGACAGACCAAACGAAAGACAGAAAAACAAGACAAAACAGACCAAACAAAAGAGACAGACACACACAGACAGATAGATAGATAGTTTTTGTTTAAAATCAACAGTAAAATTTCTCTCTACCAAAGTTATTCGGTTTTCATTCTCTCAAACTTTTCAAATACTCGACTGTTTCATACAACAATTGAGAAAGTTCCACAAGGTCACATTTGTTGCCAGCAGAGACATAAACACAAGACCAAAGATCATGTTGGGGCCTTTTGGCCTGGATTTACCCTGTCCTTTGTGGTTGACCTCTCGCGTTGCGATGACCTTGTTGAAGACGACAGCCAGTGGCTCGTTCTCACCAATGACACGAGACGGGATGAGAGGAGACATGATTAGCTGCCTCTGACGGATGTACGTTTCCATGGCAATCCTAGGAAGAGAGAGTCCAAGAGGAGAAGGACAAAACTGAAAAAAAAGATCAAAATATAGCCTAGGGGTAACAGTATATGATGGACTCTGTCGAAGATAAACACCAATGCATGATGAAAACGTGAAAATAGAAACCAATCATGTAAATGAAGGATATTTGAATCTCAAAAAGGACACACTCACTGTTGAAAAGGGATGAAATACTGCTTATCATCATCATCAATTTTCCCATGGGCTATATCTGTGATATCCATGACTGTAAACACAAAGAAAAGGAGGCTAGAGCTGATCCGAACCGCAGATACATTACATTTCATTATTACATTCTGCATTATTCACATTCCTTTAGAGAGAGAAAATAACTTGCATTTTCTAAGCACTAGTTTTGAGATGTATTCGGAGGTCAAATGTGTGGCGCAAACTATTCATTTCAATTCTTTGAATATGTTTCAATGTTGATAAAAGATTTTTGACAAAAGATTTCTAGACTGATTTGAGACTATAGAAACCTCAAAATCGACTTGATTTGCAAGCTTGAATACCAAATGAACAGATACTAAATCATCTTCAAAATCTGATTATTAAATCTAAAGAAAACATAATTATTCTGTTATCATGCTGCCTACTAATAAATGCTTTTCCTGAAACTCTCATGTCTTTTAGCTCTCTAATTGTGAACCATCAACCATGAAAAAATGGACAGACATGTTCACAACAAGATGACCCAGGTATTGTCTGTGCTCAATGAATATTAGAAGCCAGTGATGCAATATGTCTTTGAGCTTACGGTAAAAAAAATTCTTGAAAAATACAATGCTGGCATTCAACCTGATGTTTTTGTCTACAGTGAGTCAGCAGTAAAAAAAAAAGAAGGTCAAAACACTTGACACAACGTCCTTTTGGAACAAAAAGAAACTATTTTCCACAAATGTGCCTCACCTGTAGTTTGATTCAACATCTATTCACAATGTAACCATTTCATGTGACATTACTGAGTTTTAGACCGAGGAAAGATAATAATAGTATCATTGGGTCTTTCAGCTAACTGGAGATTTTAAACTGAAATATGATAAACAGGAGAAAGAAAGGCAAGAGAACACTAAGCTGTGAGATGCGAAACGACATGCGTGCTTGTCTGGGGAAAGTTCATTTTTCTCAAAAACAAATCGGCAATACAGATAAATAATGTCTTTTGCTCAGATATTTAGCAATACGAGGCACAACAAAAAAAGTAAAAGTGTTCTCATCAAAATACTAGATGAACATTGTTGTTTCTCTTGGTGCAATTAAACCCTTTATCACACACATGTCAAGTTAAGATCTATTACTGCACAAAATGAAGTTGTCGCATCCCTCAAGATCATGAAAACAGACAAAAAGTGCACTCGCAGTAATGCACTCATAATTGAAGCACCGGCAGCCAAGACAGCTGAAGAGCTTAAAAGCAGAAATGTGTCGTTTGTATTGTTGTTTTTAAAGCACTTGTAGTCAGCAGAACAAAATGTGTGTTATTTGAGCTGTAAAGCTGTTTGTGTCGTCCTGTTGAGGTGGAAGGAAATCTGCCTGAAAACGGTCAATATTTTTGCAATTCTGTTCCAGGATGCTTGTGGCACAGAAATGTATGGAAGCTTGTTTCCGCCTCAGAATGAAAAATAAAAAAAGGTAATTGCGACTTTTTATCTCACAATTCGGACTTTTTTTTTCAGTTTATTTGCGAGTTTACATCTCGCAATTCTGACTTTATAACACGCAATTGCGACTTTATATCACGCAATTCTGACTTTATATATCGCAATTGTGTGTTATAAAGTCAGAATTGTGATATATAAAGTCAGAATTGTGTGATATAAAGTCAGAATTGTGTGATATAAAGTCACAATTGTGTGATATAAAGTCACAATTCCGTGATATAAAATTGCAAATGCGTGTTATAAAGTCAGAATTGCGAGATATAAAGTCAGAATTGATTGATATAAAGTCACAATTGAATTGCGTGATATAAAGTTGCAATTGCGTGTTATAAAGTCAGAAATGTATGATATAAAGTCGAAACTGTGTGTTGTAACATCAGAATTGTGAGATATAAACTATTCTGAGGGGGAAAAAAGTTAGTCTTTTTTTCCCCTTACAATTGGCCTGATAACTTGTAATTGCGAGTTTATATCTCACAATTCTGAGAAAAGATGTCAGAATTTCGAGATAAAAACTCACAATTGTGTGTTATAAAATCAGAATTGCGAGATGTAAACTCACAATTGTGAGAAAAAAAGTCTTAATTCTGTCTTTTTTTCTCGAAATTGCGACTTTATTTCAGAGAATTTTCTGAGACTTTTTTATTTCTCAGAATTGCGACATCATATCTCACAATTGCGACTATTTCTCACAATTCTGACTTCAAATCTCGCAATTGTGAGATAAAAAGTCGCAATTATTATTTATTTTTTTTAATTCAGTTTCGGAGACAAGCTTCCACACAAATGACTTGTGGAGAGCTATGTGCATTAATTTTAATGGCTAAACTTAAGGAAAAATACTTGTCAGCCATTTATTATTAATCTCAGAACATTTAGTAATACATACAAAAAAATCGATTAATAATATTTAATGGACCTGAGCAAACATGAACTAACAAACGAACTTGTGTTTTTATTAACTAACATTAACAAAGATTAATAAATACTGTAACTAATGTATAGCTCATATTTATTTACATTAACTAATTGGACCTTATTGTAAAGTTAACCATTTTAACAATTTAAAAGGACAAACACTCACGGTTCTAAACAAATTCCAAATATGAAGTTTGAAACGAAGAGAAGTAAACAAGATGTAAACAAAACTGATCCAGAAGCACTTCCTTTTTCAGTTTTTTAACACTACATAAAAGCTGGGGTAAAATACAACCAACAGAACATATAAAACTGAATCAAAAAGTTAAACAAACATCTCTAAGATTTTTTTCTTTACATGTGAAATTACGAAAACAGTTTCAAACTGAAACAGGAAGTGTTTCTGGACCAGTGTTGTTTACATCTTGCAAAATGGTCTATAAATAATCAGAGATCTTGTACCTGCAACTCCAAACGGCCTCCTCAGCCCTCCTGTGTGTTTCTTTCCGTCCTTCAGCTCCATGCATCCCACACGGATGATCTGACACACCAGGAAGAGGCGCTGTCTGATGAGGTCACTGCTGCTCAGATCCTGAACACAGGGACGTCACAGAAGAAGAACACTTACAAATTTTTTAGCATTTTAAGATTTGCTGTTCAAACGTTTGGGGTCATGTTTGTTTGTGACTGTAAAGACTTGCATTATTACAAAAAATACATATATTTCAAATAAATGGTGTTCTCATGAACTTTATATTCATTAAAGAATACTGAAGAAATGAATAACAGTTTCTACAAAAATATTTAGCAGCACAACTTTCTTCGACATTTATAGACCATTTCACAAGATGTAAACAACACTGGTCCAGAAGCACTTCCTGTTTCAGTTTTTTAACACTACATAAAAGCTGGGATAAAATACAACCAACAGAACATTTAAAACTGAATCAAAAAGTTAAACAAGCATCTCTAAGATTTTTTTCTTTACATGTGAAATAAAGAAAACAGTTACAAACTGAAACAGGAGGTGCTTCTGGACCAGTGTTGTTTACATCTTGTGAAATGGTCTATAGAAGAAATGTTTCTTGAGCAGCAAATCATCATATTAGAATGATTTCTGAAGGATCATGTGACACCGAAGATTAGAGTAATGATGCTGAAAATCACAGGAATAAATTACATTATGCATTTATGCCAGTAGTCAAAATACCGTAAAGAGTGCAGGAAGGTTGTTGAGTTTTTCGATCTCTTTCGGCATGCCTGTGCTGTCCCACCGCACCAGGAAGTTTTCACTGATAGGAAAAGACAAAATGTGTCATGAAGATTATTATAAACTACATCTGTGAAGAAAATGTTGCCTTTATAAGACAAGCTTATGACAAGGTCCACTTATAATAATAAATGATCTTTTAATATTCATGACTGTTTTCCACCCTCATCAAAAATCCAATGCTTTCGAAATGGGACACTTTTCAAGTTTGACTTTAATAAATAGTTTTAACGGACTTTCGAGTTCTTGCCCTGTATGTTTTCATTATACAACACCCTTTTATTTCAAAATGTCAAGGAAAATGTGATGATTCATGAAGCAAGGGCTCTAACTGAAAGCAAAGGACCACATTGACTAGGTGTTTTCTGTATCTTTTGAAAAAGTATTTCGTTGACTTGTAAAGAACAGATTCGTTTTCAGTCTCTTGGACATTCTCTCTCTAGCATAAACTCATGAAATAAAATAACATGTTATTCATTGTCCAGTAATATTTTCACCACTGAAACCAACACAAGCACAATATCTGCTCATAGTGGAATATACTAGTGTACTTCAGCTTTTCAAAACCTAACGTCTGTGTCAAACAGAAGTCCACCAATACGCAGTGGACATTCAATACAATAATGCCCTTCTGCTTTTAAAGAACAAAACAAAAGGAAGAGACAGACACACCTAATAAACTCAGACTTGTCAGGATCATATAATGACATGAAGAGTTCTGCGTCTTCGCCGATGTTGCATACAAAGTTTTTGAGATTCATTAGGATGCTGTACGTGTGCACGCCGCTGAAGAGGGCCTGACGCCGCTTCTCCAGGCTCTGAAGCCGCATCTACCCAAAAAAGACAAGAGAAAATTCAAGACTGGACACAGAAGTAGTGGACATGTCATGGGTTTGATTAATGCCAGGGGATGCATTAGCTGATAAAATGTATACCTGAATGAAATGGGAAGAAGAAGCATCTGTCAAACGCATAAAAAATGTCAATTTTTCAATTTAAATGTAACCTTCAGAAGACGCTCAAACGAGATGAATGTTGAGTTCTTTACGTGAACTTTGTATGCAAATAATGATTTTGAAAAAGATTTCACAACAAACCAAAATAAATCAATTATATTTTTAATAATTAATATATTTTTTAAAAAGCAATGTTTTATCACCACACCAATATGTTGATGAATGTTGATTAGGGGGGTATTTGTTGTCAAGAAATGTACAAAGCGCTCATGCAAAGTCCAAAAACACATTTTTAACACGCTTTTTCAGTTGCAGGTCATTTTAATGACAGTCATGGAAAGAACCTTTTGCATTATTTTTATTATATATATATATATATATATATATATATATATATTAGGGGTGCACGATATTGACAAAAATGTGATATTGCGATATCGATAATGAATATTGCGATATCGATATTAATTTCGATATTTTTAAACGGATGAAAAAATACAAAAGATTTTTCAACTGACAGTCATATTGGACTGGTACAGCATTAATAAATAGGCCTAAATAATATGTCAACAGAACAGGACATGTTACAGTAGTTGTGTACACTACACTGTAAAAGATAATAAATAAATAGCAAGTCTACAGAACACACCATGCAACATAAAGCCCACTATATGCGTTTTCTTTGACCGAATAGCTATCTGATCGTGAAAAGACCAGGTGTAAATGCCCTGTGAAACGCATTAGTGACGTATTTGAATCTAATAATCGCTCAAACCACTTCAGGAGGCGGTCTGGGCCGCATTTCAGTTGAAACTGGACAAATGTAAATGCATCTCGTTATTGAATAAACCACATATGTAAAAAACGCTAAAAATGAGAACGTTACAGGCTTGTCATGTTATGGCCAGATATGACGGGGCGCGCGACTGCAACACGCATCACGCAGATGAGCAGCTGCTGAACATTTCCTTTTCATCAAGCCAACGCGCAAACTATCGTAAATCAAAGTGAAAGTAAGTCGCAGACGCTTTTCACAGTTATCTTCATTAAAAGTAAATAAACGAACTGATCTTATTTTACCTGATGATCATAAAACGCAGCTCATAAAGTTGACGTGACGGTGACGTGCACTCCATTAAATCTGCATATAGCGCGGGAATTGAAGATCGTATTTTGATAAATCAGATAGCTATCCGATCAGTGAAAACGCATGAAGTTGCCAGGTGGACCGTGGCCTGATGTTTATAGGCTACTTGTGCGCTGGTGTGCGCGTCGAGCCGGGGCAAGTGTGTGTGTGTGTGTGTGTGTGGGACTGTGTGGTAGGAGAGCAAGGGAGAAGTGAGAGAGTGACGGCGGTTAGCTTTGGAGCGAGTAGCGACTTTATATTGAGAAAAACAAAGTGTCCCTCCTGTTCTTTCTGACCACTGTGGGAAATCTGTTGCATGAAAAGTTAAACCTCTCTTGATTTAATATTCTTTATGGAGAAGGAGAATCAGGAAATGAGTCGGGGGGGGAAATGCAACGGTGCATGTCGGACCAGACGCATCATAAACAAAATATTGCATAAATATCGCGACACTTTCGATATGGATATCGAGCAACGTGATATCGCGATAACGATATTGATTCGATATATCGTGCACCCCTAATATATATATATATATATATATATATATATATATATTAGGGCTGTGCAAAAATTAATTGTGATTAATCACATCCAAAATAAAAGTCTGTGTTTACATAATATATTTGTGTGTGCTGTATATAATTATTTTGCATATATAAATACCTATGCATGTATATATTTAAGAATTATTTGCGCTTAAATTCTGTATATATATATATATATATATATATATATATATATATATATATATATATAAAAATGCATAACTTATATTATATAAATATAAATATTTTATATATGAATAACACATTTTCTTAAATATATACATGCATGTGTGTGTATTTATATATACAAAATAATTATATACAGCACACACAAATATATTATGTAAACACAGACTTTTATTTTGGATGCGGTTAATCGCAATTAATTTTTGCACAGCCCTATATATATTTATATTCAGCTTCACTGCTTCAAAGGGGATTCATAAAAAATCCTTGTGCAATAAAAGGTTAATAGATATTTAGCCTATTTATTTGTCAAAACATAACAGCAGAATAACCAACCATTTGTCTCCTTCTTAATTTGATTCTGTCAGCTATTCCTGTGAATTTGCATTGCAACACAAACCATGCATTATACAATAAAAAGCCAATTATTTTAATTACTCATCAAATCCAATTTGGCAATGTGCTAATTCTGGACCCAGGGTTCAACAAGCAACTAGAAAGAAAAGATTTTCCTAGTACCCACGTGAATATATTAAACCAATTTGATCATGAACAGAGCAAAAACTAGTGTTTTACCTTCTCCTCCTGTATCCTCTCATCAATACTGAGGGATGCGCTCTCGTGAGCCCTGAACAGACTGACCGTGCTGGTGCGCTCGGGATCTAAGGTGTTTCCGGCTTCATCGCGCACCACTAAATCAAGACCCAGAATCCTGTGCAACAGCCACAGTTATAGTTTACCACACAAGAGTGCTGACACATTCTTACTGTATTATCATCATTAATTTTAAACTGTTGTATTACAGCATGCCATCAATTTAAAGGGATAGTTCACTTTGAAATTAATTTTTGGCATGTTTTAGCTTACCTCAAGGGCATCCAAGATGTAGGTGTCTTTGTTTCCGCAGTAGTTTAAATTTTGATATTTTTAGGTCAAACTGTTCTTGTCTGTCAGCCATATAATGCAGGTCTATGGTCACCACCTCAAAGAGCATGCACAGAGAAGTCCAAATTAAACATGATTTAATGACTGGTAAATGTAAATACACATTGATGGCCTAAGACACGAAACGAGTGGTTTGTGTGAGAAAACGAACAGTATTTATATCGTTTTTACCTCTTGTAGCCACAGCCACGTCCAAGTGATCTGAGGGCGCGGGCGCTTTGTGGCTGTGGTAACAAGAGGTAAAACGATATAAATACCGCTCGTTTCGTGTCTTAGGCAATCAATGTGTTCTTACATTAACAAGTCATTAAGTCATGTTTAATTTGGACTTCTCTGTGTATGCTCTTTGAGGTGGTGACCATAGACCTCCATTATATGACTGACAGACAAGAACGGTTTGACCTAAAAATATCAAAATTGAAAATACTGCGGAAACAAAGACACCTACATCTTGGATGCCCTTGAGGTAAGATAAAACACACCAAAAAATCATTTCAAAGTGAACTATCCCTTTAAATAGGTTCAATTCAATATTTCTGCTTGAGGATATCACATATACAGACATTCAGGCTCCTCAAATGAAAAATCCATTTGGTGAAACAACGTGAGGTTCGGGAGGCTGTATCGCACCTGTTTCCATAGTCGATTTTTGCAGTGACTTTCTTCCTCAGCTCCACAAGTTCGTCATTGGGAAGCGTGCCGGACACAATCTGCGAGCGGTACTCGATCAGACTGTAGGCCATCTGCTGAACGTTCCGGAACAGCGTGGTCTTGTTGTTCTGGTATGTAAACGAACAATTGATTAAAAACCATATCACAGCTTACAAAACACCAGGGATGGGATTTGTCTTTGTTGACCAAACACATTGTGGGAAGCTCAGTGTTGAGCTGAAACGGATGATGAGTTCAACTCAAACTAAGCACAAATGACACAGGTGGGTTCACGTACCACGTAAAGATTGTGCCATATTTGTGTCCATTCCCGTAGTGTGGTGCCAAGTTCCTGGACCAAGGGCAAATCTGTAGGTACGACAGTCTCTTGTTTCCTGTACATCAACAGAAGGTTAGAAGAAAACCCTGGTTCAGTCAGGTTTCTCAGATAATCAAATAAAAATGCCTTTTGCAGTTATTTAAACCAGGGAGACCCAAGCACTGATTTTCATCATGTTTTGTTTTGTTTTGTTTTTTTTTTCATTTGGAAAACATTCGCAAAATTGCAACGTTGGGCATTTTGGTTGCAGAATGTCACCAGTATTATTTTATACACTAAGTGATAATTCTGAATTAAAAACACAATTCAGCATATTGAATAATATGTATTTCAGCCAGTAAGCATACAGTCATAACAAGTTAAGAAATGTCACAATTGGAATATTCAAATCAAATCATATTTTAAATATATGTTATTCATTAAAATACTAGTTTAAAAAAACACAAATATACGTTATTCATTGAAATACGAATTTAAAAAAACACATACTTATGTATTATATATATATATATATATATATATATATATATATATATATATATATATATATATATATATATATGCATAAGAACCAGTAATTTCACTTTAATTGCAATGAAAAGATTATTAGCAAGTTATTGAAATGCTTTTTTTTTTATAAATCACTGATAAAAGTAAAATTTAAAAAATAAAAATGCTATTAAAAAGATACATGTCAGAAAAATTTCACTAATTACACTAATTTTGACTATGACTAAACATAATAATTCAACTGAAACACTTGCTTGGAAGATTTTGGTCCAAAACAGTCAGCAATTGTGTCAGCAATGCAGTGACCATGTTGTGTGACTTCGGCATGCTGGGAAATTCAGATTAAATTTTCTTGCCAAATGTGTTGCTACGATATATTTCAGAGCATTTTAACCCATTTTAATTAATCATGCATTATTTTAAAGGCAGGGTAGACGATTTGTTCCAGAAACGTTTTTTGTTATGCTGGTTCTCTTCACATCCTGATAGCAATCACTAAGTTAAGTGGTCTAAATGTATTTTTATAGATATATATATAATTTGTGGAAGGCGTAGGACCATAAAGCGTGCGTCCAATCATTGCATTCGGTCCGAATTCATGCGTTTCAATGGCAACACTATCAACGTTGAAATGAATCTGCAGCAGTCAGGTGTTACAGGTCAGTGCACTTTAATGTTATGTGCTTTGAAACGTGAGGAGTTTTTTGCTCCATGCTGTGTGTTTATGTGTTTTGAAAGGCTTTGGAAGATCTCATGCCTTTAAAAATAACTTGCTATTTCTAGCCCCTCCGAAAACTGCCAATCCTTCCTTTAACTGTTTTGAACAAGAGTTACAATCATGAAAGAGTGGGTGTCAGAGTAAATGAGAAAACTACAAGCCACGGTGGATGACTGAAACTTGACAATTTTTCATTAATGAATTATAGAAGATAATTAACATATGATCTGCCTCTTACCCAGTTCCCTCAACTTTCGCTTCTTTCAGATGAATATAGTTGGCAGGAAAAATGCCCTTTGAAATAAGACAAAGAAGCATTTGTGAGAACCCACGCAATCCATTCCGCCTGCTGCAGAATGTCAGGTAATGATTAGATTGTCATTTTATCAGTAGGATGATAATTATCCCAACACCTTTTGTGATTTCTGTCGTAGTGTGTATCCTCGGTACCACCCTGGGAGAAGGAAGGAAAAAGAACAGATCTTTTTAGACAGATGATGCCACATAGCAGATGCTATGTCCCATTTTATTTATATAACAGAATAAGGCAGATGTTCTGTTCGGATTTAACAATATCCAATGGGGCAGTTATAAATAACAAAACAAGGTTTTCTATTTTTAAATAATAAATACAGTGCCATATTTAAAAAAATACAGTGTCATAATTACCACTGGGGAACTCTGTATTGTCTTTAAAACACAGCTTTCCGAGTTGGCGGAGTAAATTAAATAATAATGGTGGAAGCTGATTAATGACAATGGTAATATAATCAAGTTTTCATTGTGAATGTTGACTGTACAATTTAGTTTGAGTGCATTTTGTGTGCTGTTGAAGAAGACTATCTATAAACCTTGGCAGAAAATACTTATTGAGCGAGTTTACAAGGAGACAGACTTACAAAAAATGTCCAATAATTTTTTGTTGCAGTACAAGAATGCTGAAATGCACAGATAAAGCATCAATTGTGTGCATAATGCACAATCCTTTCCTATTCATTTTGTTGTATTGGTGCTAAAAAGTTTCCTGTCCTTTTCAGCAAGTGAAAAAAAAACTGAAAATGGCCAATCTGTCCCATTTTAATCAGTCAAAAATCACTTGGATTTTAGGGATGGGCAACGATTAATTGTGATTAATCGCATCCAAAATAAAAGTTTGCGTTTACGTAATATATGCGTGTGTGGTGTGTATAATTATTTTGTATATATAAATACACACACATGCATGTATATATTTAAGAAATATTTGCATGTATATACTTTATATATATTTATACATAATTAATATTATGTATAAATATCAACATTTGATATATTAAGAACACATTTTTCTTAACCCTTATGCTGCATTAGGGACATTTTTGGTCTTTTGCAGTTTAATTTCTTTGACCATTTTGGCTGTTTTAATGCAAATGGTTTGAAATTTGGCAAAATTGTGACTTTTTGGATACATGTAAAAAATGTGATCCTATTTTGCAAAATATGTATAACACACACTGTGTAGATCAAATAGTAACACTCAGCACCATAAAGACCAAAAATGGCCCATTGAAACCCATTAAAACGTTGTTTAAATCTGAGGCTGTCAGTAATACATGAAACATGATTTTTGCACAAACATCCTTTCATTTTGAAGCAAAAGCATTATATTTGCATTATATAGTGTATTCCACCAGATGACGTCACTACATATTTATTCCCTATGGGTGCAAATGCACCTTATTTTAGGCAATAGGCAATGTTTAATAGGTGGCCATTTTTGGTCTCTAACGCGCTAAGTGGGATTTTTTGCAAAGTGGGACTGTGATAATCCAAATCTAAAGTTTTCTCTTTGCATTTAGTTTATTGAAAATAATTGAATTTTTGTGTTTTTTCCTCTTATACAAATCGATGGTTTCGCAAACAAAACTGGTAATTAAAGGGTTAAAATCCTGAAATTGAATACATTTTTGGTAGTTATGATGAGGACTGATGCTGGTTAAAAGATTTAACTTGGTAAAAGTGGAAAATAATAATAATATATAATATTTTAGGCAATGTTTAATATGTGGCCATTTTTGGTCCTTAATGCACTCAACGGTGTTAAAAATCTAATGCAGCACAAGGGTTAAATATATACATGCATGTGTTAGTATTTACATATACAAAATAATTATACACACCACACAAACTTTTATTTTGGATGCGATTAATCGCGATTAATCGTTGCTCATCCCTATGGATTTAGATCACAAAAAAACAAAAGAAGATTATTATTATTATTATTTTAAATGTCTAATAGTTTACACAGAAAAAAAGAAAGTCTTACATATTTGCAACAACATGCGGGTCAGTATATTTTTTGTGTTAACTATCCCTTTGACACCAGCTTATGGAAAAACGTACATTCATGGAAAAAAACTTTTAAAATTATAAGAGGACTTTGGTTAAATAAACTGCAACAAAGTGTAATATATGATCCCTTTAAATCCTCTAAGCAAATATGGTCCTTAATTTGTGTGTTCAGGTCATGTGTGAAGTCCATTCATTCAAACATCTCACAACTGGTATACCCCAGATTATGTGTTCAGTGCAAGTGTGAACACGCAATCAGAAAGTGTAGTTGGACATGTCAAAACGTGTCCAAGAACTCAACACTCACCTTCAAACGTCTCAAGTATGTGTACCGTGTCCCCAACCTGAAGACTCAGCTCTGGCTGTCCTTTGGCGTCATAGTTATAGATAGCTGAAATGTAGACAAGAGTGTGTCACAAAACTGCAGAGAGCAAAGAGAAAACAGAAACACAAAAACAACAAGGCTGCTGTCTGTCGTGTGAAAGAGGGAAATGACTGTTGCATGAGTTCTTAAGTGGAGAGTCCTCAAGTTCTGCAGGGAAACAGTCACTTGACATGACTCAGATCTTCAAACAACGTCAAATGCAACCCAAACTCCCTGTGAGATTACAACAAAAAATGATTTTCACAATACAATGCAAGATTATTTTGCCCTTAAAAACATGCCATGATGACGCAAGGATGTTGCTTTGCAGCAATATGGTGTTCTGGGTGGTTATACTGGTCAAAAGAGCCCACATCATCTGGTGATTTACTAACCAGTGCAAATTGTGGCCCTTTTCCACTGCATGGTACGGTACGGTACGGTTCGGTTCGGCACGCTTTGACGATACAACAGACGACAGGAGAGTTTCTGATACACTTGGATGCAATATTGGCTTGCATCTGAAGTGTTGGGCACTGTACAAGTGCCGATTTGTGGAATGTGAGCACGCTAAGAGGTGCTGAGTGCTTTCCTCATACTAGTTGAACATTTTTTGGGCTGTTGAACTGCAGATGAACCTGAGAGTGCATGTCTCCACTACAAGGCCTGAGTTTTCCCTCCCTCTGAAATGCTGAAGGACACTAGTGGGAGTGCAAGATTTCCTTGTGCCATGCATCTGCCTTCACACTGCTTTCCATCTGCTACACACAAAAAATGAGAGTATGCGCATACAAAGATGAAATCTGGGAAAGTTCAACACACTAAACCCAATCCTGTTTGCATCATTGAATCGTTTATAAAGCTGTACTGTATAAAGCACAATGTAAATAAAGGTAACTTCACATGTTAAAATACATTAAAGAAACAGTGTCATGACAAAGCAATCACTGAAACATGATCGGCTGATACTAGGGTTGGCCGATAAACCAGTTTGTCAACCGATTTATATAAACCTTCCAGTATCATATCTCAATTGTGCGAAGAAAATGATCAGTCGCTAAGCCTCACCCCCTTAGTTCCTGTTTCTAAAGCTGTTAAGCCCTCCTACTAGCACTTGCTCTAATGTTGACGACAAACATGAATAGAAGCAATGGAATTGAGTGAGTTACCACAGAAATTACCACCTAAAGGATTATTAGGAACACACTAATACTGTGTTTGACCCCCTTTCGCCTTCAGAAATGCCTTAATTCTACGTGGCGTTGATTCAACGAGGTGCCGAAAGCATTCTTTAGAAATGTTGGCCCATATTGATAGGATAGCATCTTGCAGTTGATGGAGATTTGTGGGATGCACATCCCGTTCCACCACATCCCAAAGATGCTCTATTGGGTTGAGATCTGGTCATTTTAGTACAGTGAACTCATTGTCATGTTCAAGATATCCAATTTGAAATGATTGGAGCTTTGTGAAATGGTGCATTATCCTGCTGGAAGTAGCCATCAGAGGATGGGGACATGGTGGCCATAAAGGGATGGACATGGTCAGAAACAATGCTCAGGTAGGCCTAGGCATTTAAACCATGCCCAATTGGCACTAAGAGGCCTAAAGTGTGCCAAGAAAACATCCCCCCACACCATTACATCACCACCACCACCAGCAGCCTGCACAGTGGTAACACGGCATGATGGATCCATGTAAAAATCCCAGTAACTGAGCAGATTGTGAAATACTCAGACCGACCCGCTCAAAATTGCTTAAATCACCTTTCTTTCCCATTCTGACATTCAGTTTGGAGGTCAGGAGATTGTCTTGACCAGGACCACACCTCTAAATGCATTGAATTATAAATTCAGGCCAGTGTGACCAAATCTGTGACATATTTAAAATAAAACCAGTTAAGGCTATATATTTCATAGTAAATTAATACTTTTATTCAGCAAGGATGCAATAAATTGTGCGCAATGCACAAAAGTGACAGTAAAAACATTCAAAAAAAAAAAAAGGTATTAAACAAATGACGTGGTTTCTATTCATCAAAGAACCCAGAATAAGGCTGCATTTACACTGCAGGTCTTGATGCCCAAATCCGATTTTCTGACTATATCCGATTTTTTTGACGACCTGCTTAGATCATCTTTTAAAAGTGACCCATATCCGATTTTTGCTTTCACACTATACACTGCTGAAACTACCAAATGCAGACGTTCTGATGGTTCTGAACTGGGAAATTAAGCAAAACAGCAAGAAATTCAATGGATGCATGCAGATGCGAGTAAAAAATTTTCTTTCCACAATATTTCAATAAGTCATCAAAACATTGCTCTCGTACGGTACGGCGGAGAAAAAAGAGGAGAGGCTCTGGCTATGAGCACTTAAAACGATGCCTCATATCTCGTGAAATGTCTTGAAAACGGATTTATTTCTGTAACAACCCTGCATTTTTGCCTGCACTCTTCACCCCAAACACTCAAAAGTGTTGAAACCTCTGCATTGCTCCACTGTGTGTATACTTTTTTCCATCGCGTGTCTCGCGCCTATAATCGCGCAGTTTTTAATGACGCATGACTCGCATTTACTGAGGAATATCCGTTTTATCTGCTTACATGGCACACGCAAATGCATGTATCTGTTTCATATCCGATTTATTACCACATATGAATGAGGCCTGAATCCGATCTGAGAAAATCGGAATCCATGCGTTTTTTTATAATAAAAATATAATAAATAATTATAAAAAATATAAAAAATATAATAAATAATTGTGACTTTTTACCTCACAATTCTGACTTTTTTTCTCACAATTCTGACTTTTTTTCTCACAATTGCGAGTTTATATCTCACAATTCTGACTTTATTTCTCAGAATTGCGTGATATAAAGTCGCAATTGTGTGTTATAAAGTCAGAATTGTGTGTTATAAAGTCAGAATTGCGAGATATAAAGTCAGAATTGCGAGATATAAAGTCAGAATTGTGTGATATAAAGTCGCAATTCTGAGAAAAAAAGACAGAAATGTGACTTTTTTTCTCACAATTGCGAGTTTACATCTCGCAATTCTGACTTTATAACACATAATTGCGAGTTTATATGTCGAAATTCTGACATCTTTTCTCAGAATTGTGAGATATAAACTCGCAATTGCGACTTATTAGGCCAATTCTAAGGGGAAAAAGACTAACTTTTTCCCCCTCAGAATAGTTTAAATCTCACAATTCTGACTTTATATCATGCATTTCTGACTTTATAACACGCAATTGCGACTTTATATCTCGCAATTCTGACTTTATATCTCGCAATTCTGACTTTATAACTCGCAATTCTGACTTCATATCTCGCAATTCTGACTTTATATCACGCAATTCTGACTTTATATTTCGCAATTGCGACTTTATATCTCGCAATTCTGACTTTCAAGAATTGCGAGAAGTAAACTCACAATTGTGAGAAAAAAAGTCCAAATTGTGAGATAAAAAGTCGCAATTACCTTTTATATTTTTCATTCAGTGGCGGAAACAAGCTTCCATACATATCTATGGAAGCTTGTTTCTGCCACTGAATAAAAAAATAAAGTAAATAATTGCGACTTTTTATCTCACAATTCTGACTTTTTTTCTCACAATTGCGAGATATAAAGTCGCAATTGCGAGTTATAAAGTCAGAATTGCGAGATATAAAGTCAGAATTGCGAGATATAAAGTCGCAATTGCGTGTTATAAAGTCAGAAATGCATGATATAAAGTCAGAATTGTGAGATTTAAACTATTCTGAGGGGGAAAAAGTTAGTCTTTTTCCCCTTAGAATTGGCCTAATAAGTCGCAATTGCGAGTTTATATCTCACAATTCTGAGAAAAGATGTCAGAATTTCGACATATAAACTCGCAATTATGTGTTATAAAGTCAGAATTGCGAGATGTAAACTCGCAATTGTGAGAAAAAAAGTCACACTTCTGTCTTTTTTTCTCAGAATTGCGACTTTATATCACGCAATTCTGACTTTATATCTCGCAATTCTGACTTAATAACACACAATTCTGACTTTACAACTCGCAATTGCGACTTTATATCACGCAATTCTGAGAAATAAAGTCAGAATTGTGAGATATAAACTCGCAATTGTGAGAAAAAAAGTCAGAATTGTGAGATAAAAAGTCACAATTATTTATTATATTTTTTTATTAATTGGCGGAAACAAGCTTCCATACATATCCGATCTGTGCCACATGAGAGGAAAAAAATCAGATTTGGGTCACTTGAACCATGCAGTGTAAACGAGGCCTTAATATAGGCCTTTGCATCACAGTTTTCATAAAAAATATTGAGCAACAATCATAAAGAAGACTGGAGTCATGATGCTGAAAATTCAGCTTTGCCATTACATTTTAAAATAGAATACAATAGAAACGAGTTATTTTGAATTTTAACACTATTTCACAGTATTTTGTAGCTCAATTAAATACAGCCCGGGTGAGCATTAGAGACTTTTGAATAGCAGGGGTATGTATAAATGTTGCTTAAATCTCCCACTCTTGATGCATTAAACAATAAAAAAAGATCAAGTACAGCTAAAAAAAATAGTGTTATTTTTCAGTGGCACACTATCTACAGCGCGATGACACTCAGCCCAGGGGAAAATAGCTCAGCCTTGTTCAGGCATGCACATTGTTCAGTTCAAATAAAGACTCATAGATAAACCAAAAAGCTTGAGGCTACGTTTCCTAACATGCTTCCACTAGCGCACTGCAGATCTCAAGCACACTCAACTGGTAAATCTGTCCGCTTCTTCACGGCCAGTGTGAACCAACTTCTTTCAGTTTAATCTACAGCTACAGTTTTGTATGGCATTCTTTGCACATTAAAGAAAAGAAAATGCGCTACCATATATCTCATGATAACTCATAAAATCAGCACGGCCTGGTTCGCTCTGATTAATCATTTATAATACAGGTGCATGAAACTTCCTGTCCACACCCAAACTAATCTAAACCTCAAAGAGGAGTGTCAAACACAAAGGAGAATTTCTCCACCGCGGGCTACATTTAGGCTGACAAAAATATCATTTAATCACTTAAAAAAAGCTGTCACAGTCTAGGCATCACAGACAAAGCTTCAGTACACACACACTAGGCACCATTTGAGCGTGTGATTTGTTGTCAGGGCCAAATGGGCCATAGAGGTGTCACAGTGTTGGCCTGGTGCATGCTGGGATGTGCTGACCGTCTTTGTGTAGGCTCGTCTATGACATCACTGACAAGAAGTCACACACTAGCACACTGCCTCTTGTCATTTTGCCATAAGCATTTTGTAGCGCTTTTCTGCTGAAGTACCACGATGAGCCGGGCTATTTCAAAGAGCAAATATGTGATAGCACTTCACAAGGGCAGTGAGACGAATGCCTTGTGGTTATAGTGATGACTCGCAAAAAAAGTGCTGAACTCATGGTGCAAAAACAGCTCGAATGAGAGCGATTAAGAGTTCAGAAGCAACAGTAACATTGGTTACACTTTTTTTTGCGTGTAACTACATGTCACCTAACTCTCATTAAAGTATTAGACTGTTTGGTAAGTAGAATACAATGACAAGTAGTTGCAAAGTAGTTTATATACATAAATATAAAATATTTGATATTTTAGTAACATTTTTCTTAAATATATACATGCATATGTGGGTATTTGTATATACAAAATAATTATACACACTACACACACATATATTATGTAAACACAAACTTTTATTTTGTATGCGATTAATCGCGATTAATCGTTTCACAGGCCGCAGACAGTCTATTAATACTCTGCTACACTCTAAAAAATGCTGGGTTGTTTTAACCCAATTTTGGGTCAAATATGGAAAAACCCAGCCATTTGGTTACATTTTTTAATTAGATTTTTAACCCAATGTTTTAGTTTGTCCATATTTCACCCAAAATTGTGTTAAAACAACACAGCATTTTTTAGAGTGTAGTTGCAAAGTTACTTATAGTTTAGGCCTAAATGTCTAAAGTGGACCATCGAAATAAAGTGTTCTCAAAATATACTTTTATAGCATTAATTAACCTTTGTAAATGTTAGTGAATTTAAATGTTCACCATAATGTTAGTTCACAGTGCATTGGGTTGTTTTAACCCAATTTTGGGTCAAATATGGACAAGGGGTTACATTTTTAAATTACATTTTTAACCCAATGTTTGGGTTTGTCCATATTTGACCCAAAATTGGGTTAAAACAACCCAGCTAGAGTGTGCATTAAGTTAAGTAACTTTTGATTTAAGAAATGCATTCGTAAATGTTGAGATTAACTATACTAATACATGCTGTAGAAGTATCATTGTTAGGGGTGTAACGATACCCTCATGTCACGATTCGATCCATATCACGATACGATGTTATTGGGATACTCCAAGACATATGATAAAAGGTTAACAAAAAAATGTACTGTTGATTAAAATGCTAACTTTGATATTACATTGTGGGTTTAAAAGAATATGTTTGGACCTGGAGCTTGTAACCCAAGGACAATGGTGACATATACATACAATATTCTGAAACTGAAAATACAGAATTATTTTAGACGAATATGCTTGCACTCTGTCACTGACTAGATATATTTAAAATAATGTCAGCCACTTTTTACTAACATTAGACATGTGGCATTATTAGGACCCACAAATATTCCCCCATTGCATTATTATACATTATATATAGTAGTTTAATATAGTAGAGACACTAAAACTCACACAAGCACAGTAATTTTTATTTTGGGGGAACTATCCACGATACGCATTGTTGCATTTTTGTATTGCAAATATTGTGGCAGAATATATTGTTAGTCATTAACCATTATAATCATTGTTAGTTCATGTTAAAGCCAACAAATAAAATCTTATTGTATAGTGTTACCACAAAAAGCACCTATAATTCAAATTCCTCAAGTGTATGTTAAAGTCCTCGGCAGGAAAAACGGCTGAGTATGATCCAGACTGCTTGATGTCTGACCAACAGATTACATATCCCCATCCCACCACAACAATCGACCCTGTGTGTGTTAAACTGGCCAGCTGACCACTCTTGGCATAAACACTAAGTGCAGTATCGCACCAGAGCAACAGAATAAGTACATGTACATCAACAAGCATCAGAAATGAACCAGCGCTCAGGGGGAAAAGGTCAACAACATTACTCCAAATATTAAAATGTGCTCTGAATCTGTTATCTAACATGTAGCGCATGACATAATATAGTGATGAGATGAATATGGGTGTCTCTGAAGAACATTCTTAAAAATCTTACATACATTCTGATTCTAAAATGACACACACACACATATATATATATATATATATATATATATATATATATATATATATATTAAAAAATGATGTTAGATGCAATTAATCGAGAAAGAATGCTTAAATCTCCCACAATATTAACATTAAATATTAAATTGACTCCCTTTTCAGACACTTCATGCATGAAGCAAGCAGAGCATTGACTGTGTTATGATATCTTTTGAATTTGAAGTTGATTTAATAGGTAGAGCTTTAACTGTCCTTAAGTCATTTCAAATGAAGCATGTGACATAAATTGGATGTTTGGAAAAATAAATGCAAATCCCACCTGGAAAAAGAAATCAATTCCAGAGAAGAAATGTTGCCCTTCAACAAAAAAAAAGTAAGTCAAAATTGCAAGTGCACAAGGGTAGGCTACTTTACATAAAAAGTAGTTTTAGATATAGCCAGTTATCTGACCACAAATGTATGCAAATGCCCTTTATTGTTGTTTGTGTGTGTGATTATAAGAGCATTTGCGAAACAATCCAGCAACTGTCACTGAGCAGTGAGAGGTAAAAGAGTTCCTTCTGTGTGGCTTTATGGGTGTGTTAACCTGAGCTCATGTGCACAGATTAATGTGACTGGAAGGGAAATGCTGTTTGTGATCACTGTAACTCTGGCCGCACTGTTGCTGTATTTATCATAATTGTATTGTCCTGTCAAGCCTCCAGGAACCTCATTCACTGTACTGTGTACTTATATACCAATGAAGCAAAGTATACACAATTGGACCATAAAGTGCAATGAGATACCCATCCAATCCTCTGAAACAAAATGTCAACAAATCTAACCCATGTTGCTATATGAAACTATCCGCGTAGTTTGTGTATAATAACTTGACAACTTTTCACACCGGTCTCATAAGCGCGTGTGTGTGTGTGTGTTCAGGTAAAGGTGCGGCTGAACGCTGCTCAAACTCCAACGCAAGTTTTCAGAGGGAAACATTGATTAAAAACTAACAAAAGCGCTTTGAAAGTCACTCACCCACTCCATATTTCTCTCTTTTAGTGGGAATCCAGAGCGTCATGGCAGGAAAACTTGAGAGAAGTGAAATGAATCATATATGAACAATAATAGTGTTGTGGAGTGTAGGGCTGCAGCGGTCCGAACATCACAGTTCCGGTGTTACGCAAAGAACTGCTCGCTAGCAGTGTGTGTGACTGTGTGAGTGTGTGTGACGCGCCCTCGGGCTCGCGCGCACTCACTCCCTCACATATACAAGGCGAGAATTTCATTGAAATCTAAAAGTTTATGCATTCCTTAATAGTCATTTTTAAACACAAAAATTGCTAAATACTAAAAGTTCTCAGGACATAACGTCAATGTGCTATATATTTAAGATTTGTTTATGGGTTAGGGTATTAGGCTAGTTGTGATGGTAATGGGTATAAGGGCATATTATATCACTGAATGTCAGACAGACAGACAGACAGACAGACAGACAGACAGACAGACAGACAGACAGACAGACAGACAGACAGACAGACAGATAGATAGATAGATAGATAGATAGATAGATAGATAGATAGATAGATAGATAGATAGATAGATAGATAGATAGATAGATAGATAGATAGATAGATGATAAATGAACTTGAACTCTGTTTATTGTCTGAGACTGCATCATTGTTTTTATTTCTCTTGGTTATGCCGTGAGTGAATGAATGAAACAATGAACAATAAAACTGTCCGTGGGATGCATACCCACATTTCCCACTCACTATATATATTTTAACAGGGTGGGGGGAAATGCGGCCTTTTTTTATTATCGGTTTAGATTTAGTACGTGGCTTTAATAATTTTTGGAATAATTTCAAGGACGGTGAACTGTGCCAGAATGAGATGAGATGGGAAGGAATGTTTGGAATCTTCTATTGTTACAGCAACTGCTACATCTGTGTGTGTGTGTGTGTGTGTGTGTGTGTGTGTGTGTGTGTGTGTGTGTGTGTGTGTGTGTGTGTGTGTGTGTGTGTGTGTGTGTGTGTGTGTGTGTGTGTGTGTGTGTGTGTGTGATATTAGGGTGGAGGGGTGACGTTCCGATCCCCCTGATTTCAGCAGGACCCCAGCTGTTTAGGTGTGGATTTAACTAACTACCCCTCTCGTATGATTGCCACTTCTGTGTCTCCAGTTTATTTGGACAAAACTAATTCCGTGATCCTTCAGAAAACACAGAGACCTTCAGTTGCCAACAAAATGTGTTGAGAGAACATTCTGTCATTCTACTCTGGCTTATTGTTCTGCCTTCATTTTTATACAAATTCAGGGTTTGGATGATTCAGCATATAATTTGGCCACTAGGCTATATGATTCCTTTAAATGTTAATATTGGTGTTTATGTTCTTTACATTCGGCTCTTCATTTTTGGGTTAAATCTTACAAACACCAACCAGTCAATAAAACTGCGTTGAACAGATACACAAGCTATCCATTTTTTTTTTTAATGATGCAGTCTTAGAGTTTCAAACAAGATAAAAATACTTTGAGTAGGCTATGGTTTAAGTTCAGTGCTCTTTATAAGTGAAAATACTAGTGAATTTCAGAAGTAGACAGGGGAACTGAAATGCGGATTGAATAAATAAGGCCCACTGACAGAATATCAAATTAGTCATGTTCTCAAAGGCTCAAAGCTGAATTTTTTTTATAGGGACAGAGTGCCATCTAGTGTTTACTGTGAGTCACTACATTCATCAAAGTGTTTTATTCAAATCAAGCATTCTGATTGCGAGGTAAAAAACAGTGTGTATTAAGAATGCCATAGATTTATAAAAAAAAATAACAAAATAAAAAATATAATTTAATTTAATGTAAATATTAGTTGGTAGTATTTTATTTTAATTAATTACATTAATTAAATTATTAATTTATTCAATTATTTAATCATTTGTCGATTTATTAATTTATTATTTATTTATCAATTAATTTATTTATTTATATATTTATTTTTGGAATTTATCATTCTTGGATGTTCTACTGGTCTTTAATTTAATTTAATTTTATTTATTTTGGAATTTAAATATAATTCTTGGATGTTCTACTGAACTTTACACTAAGTCAGGACCATCAGGGATCTGAAGATATGGATCTGTCAACATTATAGAAAGCCACCTTAAAAGTCATATTTGATTTGTTTTAGCCTATTGTGCATAATTCACAGGTTTGCTTTTTTTTAAAAAATCTCCTCAGTAATTAACTGACTCATCAGTGAGGAATGTGCCCTTTAGCCAGTGCACAAAACCTTAAACTCACCCATAGAGTCAAAGCCAAAGTATCCTGGAGTGTTTCACAGCTGACAAACAGTTAGCAGAGCAAGATGTCAAGTCAGTATTTAACTGTGAACTGCAAAGAAAGAAAAAACATTTTCATATCTTGGGCAAAAACACAACTGGCTGATCACATTAACACAGAATATGCCATTAGCCTATATGATCAGGGTCTGTGTTCATAAATCACTGGTCATGGTTTACACATTGCTCAAAACTATTTTGAATTTATTCAACAAATATTGAGGAGTGACGTACAAAATGTAGGCCTACTTCTGCGTTACAAAGTGACTGAGGGGTTAAAAATGTCTCCCTGTACTGTATATATATGTATGCTGAATAACTTATGACAACATATTTTTTTCACACTGTGTCAACTCATCAAAATAAGTTAAGCAATTTTCAACTTTTTTTTACGTTTAACAAGATTCAGCCGATTTTTTTAAAAGTCAGTTTACGGTAATTTAAGTTGAAATGACTCAAACATCCAAGTTAGTTTTAAAAAAAAAATGTAAGGCAGCAAACTTTTTGTAGGCTACTACAGCGCGTGGTAAATTATATGACTACATAAGCAGGGCTCCCAGTGTCCAGTAGAGGGAGTTATTGTCCTTCAGACAGATATCATTAACACGGTATCACGACAAGACGTGAAATAATCACGTTGGTCCACTTTGGAAAACGTGTAGATGTCACGGTTTAACCCCCTCAAACGTGAAACTTACCCGTTTAAGTGGAGAGATATCCGGATGTTGACATTATTCTTCACGCAATCGCCTCTGCCATAACGACCTATTGGTTTTCATTAAACCGATAAAAATGGAATTTTGTTTTATTGACGATCACTGAGAAATGTTTTATTATTTAAAATGCAAAAAACATTTATTATTTTCAAGGTGAAAAGGATTTATTTGCCTTGATCCACGCCGAAAAAAAACGTCTTAACGCTAACGTGTAAGTCTCACGTTTGAGGGGGTTAAACCGTGACATCTACACGTTTTCCAAAGTGGACCAACGTGATTATTTCACGTCTTGTCGTGATACCGGCAACCACATAGAGAAGCTTCTGTTTATGAGTCAGATATTGTGAAATGCTGAAGCTTTTATTAAACTGCTGAAGGTATGAAAACTGTTGAAGGGTGATACTTGACTGACTGATAAAACACAGTTCAATAGAAGTAAGCACATATTCTCAACTATATCAACAACATTATACAAGATTTCTGCTTTGATTGGATGTTTTCTGCAAATCTTAAACTAATATATTCCCCCTCCTCCAGCCATTTATATTTTACCACAGATTTTCTCGATCCCCTTTTCTTCCTGTCTCGATTATGTTAATATTTCTAACCCAAATGATTCCCTGGTTTCCTCCTCCTCCTCTTTCTCGGGAATCTTCTCGGAAGCCTGAGCTGTTGAAAAATCAGTTTTCTCACCGATCAATGCCGTGTGTTTCCAAGTGCTGCTTCTCAATTTCTTCCAGGGTCACGAGGTTTGTTGTTAGTATTTATAGCACATTTAACAGATATTTTCAGTCAAATGTCGATTTTCCTTACTCAGATCATTTATTTTATAGCAACTAAGAGGAAATAATAGGCTATTGCTCAGTCAGTTGCAGTTTCGTATCTCAGGTGACTTCATGGAGTTGTGAGTTTGGCTACGTTTCTTTTACAGTAGTGCAAACTCGTCTTGGATGTTTCTCCTGAAATGTATGATAATACGAACAATAGGCCGAAGTCAAGTCATCTTTATATAGGCCTGCTTTATAAAAAACTGATTGTTTCAAAGCAGGTTCACAGGCATAAACAGGAAAATAACGATACAAACTTGATCAAATATGAGGCAAAAAAGTAATAGTCACAATGAATGTAGACATCCATTTACTCTTATGGTAAGATGGGGGGTGATGGTGATGATGATAGTGGCCTCACTGTAAAGAAAAAAATATATGATCGATAATTTATGATAACTTGTTTTTCTTTGCAATTATCTCATCAAAATAAGTTAAATAAAGTTGCCTGAGATTGACCAATACACATTTTGAATAGTTTAATATGTGTAGTATTACATTCAATATCGAAAAAGATCAAAAATAAAGTTTATTTTTTTGAAGATTTACAACAAGCAAATGTCACCCATTCAGTGGAATGGCCCAATTGAAATTCCCATAGCCTTAGCCTACTGATTGATATACAGACATGCTCTACTTTTGGGAAGTTATACAAGATTCAACAATTTTTTTATGTAATTTAAGTTGAAATGACTTGATCATTTCACTTAAAAAATTAAGGCAGCCACTCAAAGCAAAAATATTCAATGCAGCGAGTAAAAAAAGAAGAAGAAGAGAATGATGGTGCATGAGAAGAGCTTGCAGTACATCAAGTCTAATGAAGTCAGTGAAAGCTTCGAGTCAAACCTCTGCCAAAACAAATACTGCCTTTCATCTACTAGTCAAAAAGCGTGTTTAGGAGTTTTCATGCAGTCTGCTTACTGATAAGTGCTGTTTTGAAAACTGTGGAAAAAATGAGTTTAAAGAGATACTTCAGGATTTAGCATTAAGCTTTGTATTAGTAGAAAACCTGTAGTATTTTAGTATGAGGGAACTGTAGTACCCTCATCCCCCTGAGACGAGAGATTTATGTATTTTTTGTCTGGAAAAAAAATCCTCTGTTGACGCAAAAATGGTCATTTTGCATTATCAGCCAGAGGCTAAAGACTACAGTCAGTAGTAGGGTCTGTCCCACATGTTCTCAACCCGCCTATAGAGGGCGATCTCACTCACAGAATGAACACATAGTATCGGCCATCTTTTTTTGGAAGCTAAGCTAGCAGGCTCTTGTTCTGTGGAGAAAGCTGAGTAGTAGTTTTTTT